CTCAACCTCTAGGGTTCTGCACTTGGTTTGGAGCCTTTGCACTTCTTTATCTGAATTTGCAGCCTCAGTCAATTGTTGGGTTTTGTCGAATTCTGAAAGCTTTGGCAGGTGCCTCCAGCGCCAGTCGCAGTTCTTCCGCTTCTGCGCAAGAAACGAACGAAAACCAACAAAGACACAACGAAGCCAAAGCACATGCACCTCAAGTTGAAGCATTTACATTTTGGCCATATGGGCCATATGCATGAAAAAAAAAGGCCAGTCTACGCCATGCACTCACTGCGTGTTCTTCCTGCGCAGCGCATGGTCGGGTCCCATGCCGTCCTGCGCGAAGGTGTTCGAGTTCTTCGGCTTCCTGCGCCATCCAACTCTTCCGAAGCTTCAGCTCCGCCGCCAGGGACTGGCCCTTCGCCGCTCGGAGCCACACGACCGACGACGGGACGGAGTCGTCCGTTCTTACCGGTTGGAAGCGTTTATGCTAGGTTTTTAACGGACAAACCATCTCATGGGCTTTGAGCTTTCTTGTGGCCAAGCTTTCTCGAAACAAATCCTTCGAGAAGCCTGCGGTCTCTTAGCGAACGGTCCAAAATGTCCGAACGTTCAATCAAGCGACTCTGTCGGTACCTGAAAAGTCTACTCGAGCAATCTGGTAGGTATTGCATGGTCTTCCCAAGTGAACTGCAAGTTTGTATTTGAGAACGGACAATAAGCAATTCCTGTCCCCAGCTTCAGGAACCTTCCGGCCAATAGTTTCAATGCCAAACACCATAATTAGATTGAACACCTGCTAGAAATGGCCTCCTACCTAATAGCAATGGCCTCCACCCTAATAGCAATGGCCTCCAGCGTAATGGCAATGGCCTCCAACCCAATAGCAATTGGGCACCAACCTAATAGCAATGGCCTCCACCCTATCAGCAATGCCCTGCACCTAATAGCAATGGCCTCCAACCTAAGCGATGGCCTCCCACTTAATTCGACATTGACATGAGTCATGTAGACACAGGATTAACATACCTCCCCCAATTAGTTTTGTCCGCCTCGGGTCTTGGAATAATAAACGCAATTCAAAAAGAGTCAGTCTAGCCCATGTTTTAACATTTTTTACACAAACCACCCTCCAATACTTTTGCCTACTTTTCTTGGTGACCAACATTTTTTTGACATCACCAATCAGTTGACCTCCTTTCTTCCCTTGATTGTTTTTCAACCCCTCTAATTCCACCAATCCCTCATCCTATGGTCCTGTTGCCAATTTAAGACCCGTTTCAACTTCAATTCCAACACCCCGTTTTGTCGATGCTGGCTCGTTGTTTGCTGGCTCGTTGTTAGCTCATGATGCCTTTGGCGGTGCCCATTCAGGGGAAACTCATTGCTCATTGGTGCTCATTGGCCTTGTAGGAACCATCCCAGGCCGACAAACAGTGCCAAGAGCAGAAGCTTTTGCGTTTCTAAAGCTGCTAGAAATGACTGAAGGCCCAGTTAAAAGCTGCATCGATGCCAAAGCTGTTTTTAGGAAGTGGAAGAAACTCAAAGACATCACCCAGCTGTCTGCCGACTTGGATATCTGGGGGCCCTTAGCTAGGCGGAAAAAGGAAAGAGCTGAGGTAGAAATTCACTGGACACGCTCTCACCTGTCAAAGCCAGAACATGAGCGACTGTTTCCAGACCAGCAGTGGATGCACCAAGCTAACACAGGGGCTGATCACACGGCTTCTACCTTTACCGATCAGCTTGCTGAATCGCTGAACTTGAGAGCTAAACAGGAACTGCTGACCTGGGTAGATGCTAGAGTGCATAGGATCCAGACACGGTTGATTGAGGTTGCCAGATTCTGGCTAAGCCAGAAGGAACCAGGAATCAGCAAACCGTTGCAAGTACAGAGTAGCCCCAAACCTGCCACTAGGAGTGAGCTCATTCAGTTTTTGCACGTCACGCATTCTCATCACCTGTGGGGTCCTGTTCTTTCTCAGGGGTATGGCAGCAGGCGGTGCTGCACACGCTGTGAGCTCACGATTTTGGCCTATTGGGGTAAACACAAGGTTTCGGTTTTAGCTGGCAAACCCTGCTTTTCCAGCAGCGCGGATTTCCTTGGGCCTGTTGTGCATCCTTCTCATCGTTTGACTTGGTGTTTGGACCCTAGAAAGCACAGATGTGTTCAGTGTCGAGCTCAGGGAACCACGGCGCAGCTCTTTTTGAAACCCAGTTCGCGCAAACCTTGTGCCAGAGAGACTAAGGGCAGGAGGCTCTAGAGCTTCTGTTATGCTGGTGTTGCTTAGGAAAAAAAAAAGTGCTCATTGGCCAAATGGTGCAGCAAATGTCTCCTGAGAGCTTCGTCCTCGCATTGCTCTCCTTGCCGATCCTATCACCCCCCCTCCCAAAAATCACCCAGAATCTCAAAACCACACCCAGAAATGCCGCTATATGTTGTGTTTTTTGAACTCAACAAATCAACATGTTAAGCCCTCACAGCATGGTGTAAATCTGGGCATGGAGTGATTGCCTTGTACTGAAACGATGCCCAATGGGCAGCGGAACGGAGCCTTTGGGTGATGCATTTTTGGTCTTGGCACATAGCCGTGGATTGGATGGACTGGTTGGCAGAAAACTGCAAAATAATGCAAACGTTCGAACTCTGAAGCCTTTGCTAGTAATTACAATTCCAATTAAAGTTTTCTTGTTACTACTAGTAAGGCACTTGTTACTAGTAGTGAGGCACTTGTTCCTAGTAGCTTCTAATTATTTTGCATGTTTTGCAGGTTGGAACTCTGAAGCCTTTGGTGCAAACATCGCCTTTCGGCCTCTGAAGCTGCACAATCAGTGTAGAAACGTTTCAAATTCATCTCTGTAGAAGAAGGTGCCGAGTTTCTCGGGGAAGACAGTGGACCCAATAACCCAATAGTGATGGCCTCCAACCTAGTAGCGTTCTAGCTACTAGTAGCTTCTTGTTCCTAGTAGTAATGCCAGGAGCGCCCCTAGTAGTGTTCTTGCTACGTACTAGTAGAGATGCCCTTTGCTTCTAAACGAAGTGCGATTGGGCTGCCTCTTCTCGGGCTGCCTCTGTGTCCTTCAGTGCTGCATCCAATTTGGCCTCACGAAGGCCCCGAAGACTCGTCTCGTACTCGTCTCGTCTTCGCTTCGATGAGTCCTCTTCCGTCTTCGTTTTCCTGCCTGCATGTCCTGCAGCCGCGCATCCAACTCCTGGATGTTGCATTCTTGTTACTTGAAGCTTCTTGTTACTACTAGTAAGGCACTTGTTACTAGTAGCGATGCACTTGTTCCTAGTAGCTCACTCAAGCACAGTTGGGAATCTGATGGAATTCAGCACCACACATGTGATTCGGTTTGGTTTCATGTTCACACCGCACGCGGTCTTGCCATTCCAAAGTCGGTTTGGACGTGGATTTGCATCTTGTGAGTGTTCTGACTGTCACCTGCGTGCAAATGCACCAAACCCGCGAGGCACTGCGTGGCGTGAATTCCCATGTGTGTCTCAACGCTGCCGTGTGAGCGGAACGGACTGCTTGCCGTCGCACCTCGCGGAACAGACTTGTCACGAGTGTTCCAAGGGAGGTTGTTCAGTTCCAAACGTTCTGTTTTGGAGACGGTTCCTGTCGTCAAACAGCAACCTTGGATTGATGCGGAGGCTTTTTGTTGGCTCGGAGCAAGGGTGCTACTAGGAGCAAAGGGCATCGCTACTAGGGGCTCCTGGCCTTACTACTAGGAGCAAGAAGCTGCATAGTGAGTTCACACGTTGTCCCAAAGCTTCAGCAGAGGTGTCAAAGGGCAACACAGCTCGCGAGTTAGTGGAAAGCCGCTTGACGGTGAAGACTCTGCCGCTTGTCTCTTCTGGTGCCCAGCTCGCGGCTTAGCCGCGGCGTTAACGTGGCTTCAAGAGTGCGCCACTGATCCCCAACAAGGCAAACGAACGAAACGCTCTTGATCACGATCGCCCACAACCTGCTCGCTGTTGGAGGGCTGACCGTGCTACTCCCATTGAGGCTTTTTGCGTTTGGGGTGATGCTGTCAGGGTTGTCGTATCTCTGAGACAAGATATGTTTAATGAGTTTAATGTGTTGAAGATGTGGATCGCGTTGCAATCGCTAGGGCCGCTAGGCTCTGCATCGTGTCTGGAGCCGGCGCAGTGGCTTTGCGTGTGTCTTGGCCCAACCTGGCCCTGACATGTCAATATTGGGCTCAACTGATAGCTTCAACAAAGAACTATCGCTACCTCGCAGCCCGGCTGTTGGGCGGCCAATTAAATGAACATGCAAAGGAAAGAAGTACTTGTCGACATAAGCTGAATCGAACACCTGCGAAGAACCTGCTCCGCAGTGTCACAGTCTTGTCGAAGAACATCGAAGAACCATGTGAAGAACTACTAGGAGCAAGAACGCTACTAGGAACAAGTGCCACGCTAGTAGTAACAAGAAGCTACTAGGGGCTCCTGGCATCACTACTAGGAACAAGAAGCTACTAGGGGCTCCTGGCCTTACTACTAGGAGCAAGGACGCTACTAGGGGCTCCTGGCATCGCTACTAGGAGCGGGCGTTAGCGGAGTGTGATGAGATGCGCTCTGTCTTGAGAGCGTTGCGAGTGCAGATGGCTGTTTGCTCCAATAAGCCCGGTAAGTTGTTTCGCCTTTTCCTGTGATGTAGCACAAACAGGTTCCATGGCGTTCACATGCCCTCACTTTGAAAAGTCCTTGGAGAGAATCATTGACCTAAGGAATCATTTTACCATATTTGTTTTACCTCATCACTTGCAACTTGCTCTGGCCGGAATATCGGCAGACTTTGGTGATCCGAACTCCCCAACACAAATACTCCACACAAGTTTCATGGTGCCCTTTGCGAACCTCAAGCGCTTCCGTCCTGATCTACCTTCTCTTTGGGTTCCCGTCTGGTCGAATCCTTTGCGCGGTCAACCTGCTGGATACGAAGGAAAGTCATCTGCACCTCAGATTCAAACAAGAAGAAGGCGCACCAACCGAATAGCGTTCATGTGCTTTCAGATTTAAGGCCAACCTCATAGCGATGGAAACAAGGCAAACTTCCCCTCAGGATTGGGCTGGGCGTGGCAACTTTGCTAGTTTCTGCTTTAGTGCCTCGACGGGCGCGAACGACGTGAACGACGCAAACGGTGTTCGATGCGATGTCTCGGTGTTCGATTAAAGATCAGATTCTTTCGAAGTCAGCGACGTAGCCGGTCACCCGGTTGTAAAAATAAACAGCACGGTCCAAGAAAAACAATGGTGTTCTTTTTCGTTCGCTGCTCGGCGTTCATTTGCTTTTTCTTTCACACGCTTTGCTCCAAGCCTCCTGGAAGGCACCTTTTCCTTCCAAAGCCTCGCCCTGCACAGCCACCACTCGGTCCTGACAGAACTTCTCTGTCACACGAAGTGGGTCTTGGCGTCGCTTGGCGTCGATTGCTCGTTGCAACGAGCAACAAAAGGACCGGACCAAAGGACTAGGCAACCAGAAACTGATCAAACCAGCGGACCAAATGGGACCATATATCATAAAGAAACAGTCTATACCTATGTTTGGTATTAAATCTTATAACTATGGAATATGTGTTTTCTATATGTTACTCCATTGCCAATTACAGTTGTTTGGTTCATCATCGGCTGCGTGCAGCACGGGGGTGGAGCTGATTGGGGAAAGAAGAGGAGGTGCCTTGAAGAATGTGTGCCTCAACGCGGTGGTAAAACCGAATGAAAAAGAGAAAACTTCTAAACACTAGCTCTAATCTTGAACTCACAAATGCTCACCTCAATGCGAAGACCCAAGGCTTCTGCTTGTCCTCGGAAGAGACCAAGTTCTCGGCACTTGGTGGTCGACAAAAAGGGACCGAACCGGATCAAATGCTAAAAGTAGCGTCCTAGTAGCGTCCTTGCTCCTAGTAGCGATGCCAGGAGCCCCTAGTAGCGTCCTGGCTCCCGGCAAAGGATGCAAAAAGTACAGGTTTTGAGGTCCCGACCACCAGGCGTGATTTTGAGAACCTTGACTTTGACTGTCGGGCTTGGCTTTCCGAGCAGCTCTTCGAATTAGAGTTCTCTTGATATCTATACATGTTTTATAATGAATGTTCTTGATATCTTACTATAAATTTTCAATTAGACTTTTCTAGACCACGGTTTTTTTGTGTTTGTTTTCTTGCCAAGACGCCTGTCCGCTCTCCAGATCCAAGTTCAATCCCAGACTCCCCTCGGTCACGATGTGAGTCCGAGTAAACTCGCAAGTCCAGATGTTTCGAGCCTGTTGAAATGTGACGTCCACGCGGACCTGAAAAGGACGCTTCTAGTAACAAGTGCCACGCTAGTAGTAACAAGTGCCTTACTAGTAGTAACAAGAAGCTAGTAGAAACAAGTGCCACGCTAGTAGTAACAAGTGCCTTACTAGTAGTAACAATGTTTGCTACTAGGAGCGTCCTGGCCTTACTAGCTAGGGACGCTACGAACGTCACACAAAGAGAGGAGACAATACACTCTTGTCGATGTTTTCACGATGCGTTTGACAACTCCTCCTCAAGGCCGGGAGCAAGGACACCATTGCCTCTAAACAGTCTGATACTTTGTCGATCTCCCGGATGTTAGGCAAAAGAATGAAACGTTCTGCTTTCCTCTTCTGTTTTCAGACCTGTCTCAAAATTTCTCTATTGTTTTCATGATCTTTTGAATTCTAATTTGATCTTCGCAGCCTCCGAGGCTGAAGCTCTGCTGAATCTTTCGCCCAGCCTGTCATGCTAGCATGCGGCCAGCTCTAACACAATATCATGCAGCCCAGCAGGCCAGCATGATGAAACCCAAAAAATAGAAACCTAATAGCCATGGCCTCCAACGTAAGAGCGACGGCCTCCAACCTAATAGCGTAATGAAACCGAGCGCCTTTTCCAAGTCCTTGACATTGGATGCCACGTCAGCAGCAATGAGCTTGGAATTTTCGCGGATTTCCTCACACGACTAGGCAACAGAGCCAGCTAATCAAATCTGCAAAACGAATTGCTGCAGATTAGCACCATTGAGTCTCCTTCACATGGCCCTCTAGGGAGGCAGCGGTTGACCTGAAGCACGATAACGAATGAAATCAGGACTAACAAACTGCAAGCTAAGTGAGCTATGGCAAGCATTCTTAGTAGTTCATCAAGCATTCCACATTCCTCACAAAACAGCCAACTTTGAGCTGCCGGCTTGAACCAACCCCCCAATCCAGTCGTTTCTGCCTCAAGTTCATCGAGTTCGACGAGTTCGAACTGATCTTCCACGTCTAAGCTGGTGGCCATGAGGGCGCTTGGCCATGCGATGCATGGCGGCGCGCATGAGAAAGCGCGAGGCGCAATTCGCGAAGTAAATGACTGTATTGCAAATATTGAGACTTTAAATGATAACTTGACTAGTAGGTGTAAGGGCATTTTAGATGGTGTAAGCAGGGCATGACATATCAGTCATATCGCGTCCAGGACAACCTCCGGGTCCCATCGCTTGGACCTCTCGTCGCATCACGCTCGATCGGACCGCTTCTCCTTCGTCTTTGGACCGGTTTGCATTCAAAGTCGGGATCCCTCGAGATTCACTGGAGGGTGGTTCCACATTATTTGGTCCTCAGCTCTAACCAACTGGGGGAATTTTAAACAAGTTTTTTCGATGAGTTCGTTCCAAACATCGCATTCGGTGTTCCAAAGCCGCCTGTTTTGTGGAATGGCCCTAGCCCACCAGGTCTTTCTATGAATGTTCAGCACGTATGTTCGGCAAAATATATATGACCTCGAACAAAAGCTGTATTGATCACAGGTCTCTCAAGTCTCTTGACTTCTGAAGCTATGGCGGCGTTGGCCGCCCTAGACTCTGCACTTCTTGTTTGGTCCGAATCAGCATGTCTTGAAGTCCGAGTGTGCTTCAAACACGCTCGCACGATACTTCAACTCTCATTAGCTCATTGCTTGCTTCGCTGAGACGAAATGCCCTCTCTGCGGTCCTTTATGGTCCTTTCAAAGGGAGACCACACGGGCAGGAGAGTCTGGCCCCCAAGTGGCGACCACTCGGAAAATACGAATTGCAAAGCAAAGAAAGAAGGCTATGAAAATGTCAAGAACACATCACATGTTCTCCCATGCTCAAATGTTTACAGTGGCCCAGCATTGGAAAATCGTTTGGTCGAAAATCGGAAGGCCTTCACAAGGGCCCAGAAGGAGATTCGGAGGAAGATGCTCATGGAGGCCAGTGCAGCCACTGCAGCAGTTCGCCCATTGAACTTCTGCAGTTGCAAAGCGCCGATCGTCTTCAAACACTTCTCCCGTCGGGCCGAACGCACCGTGTCCACCGCCGTGGGGACGGGCCGAGCTTTCCGAGTCGGAACGCGTCGGAGCCGCTGCCGCAGCGCTTGGGCGCTGCGTTTCACCAGGCGCCACGGAGAACGAAGCTCTTCGGCCAAGGCCTCCGAGGCCACTTCTCCTCGGTAAAGCTTCTTGTAGCTTTAAAAAAAAACGGCTAATAGCGATGGCCTCCACCCGCCTAGTAGCGCCTCCAACCTAAAACATGTACAAAGCAGTTGCATGTTCAATCGAAGAGGTGGTCTATGGCGAAACCGAAGAAACAAAAGCTACTATCGCCTATCGCGTCTATTTCTCACCTGGCTGCAGCGAGAGTGACAGTTCTTCCAGTTACTACTAGCGTGGCACCTGTTACTACTAGCGTCCTTGTTACTACTAGTAAGGCACCTGTTACTACTAGTAAGGCACTTGTTTCTACTAGCTTCTTGTTACTACTAGTAAGGCACCTGTCACTAGTAAGGCACCTGTTACTGACAAATGGGAAACCGGAAGAATCTTGTTGCATAAGCGAACTGCGGACTGACAGTTCCCAATACGGGCTGTGGATCTTCTCCAGAATTGATTCTGTGCGAAGTGTGCGCAAAGGTGTTTTTCTTGCGAACAATGGCAAATGAGCATTGAATCGGCTCCTTTTGGACTTTTGATTTCGAGCTCTGGTTTGGCAGCTCACACTCATGGCTCTGAAGTTTTGGATGAGTCAAAAGAAAATTGATTCTAATGCAATGGACTCCAACCTACTAGCGATGGCCTCGAACCTACGATGGCCTCCAACCTACTAGCGATGGCCTCCAACCTGAAGTTTCTGGATAATTGGGGAATCAGTCAAGAATCGAACTTTGGGAGTTTGCATCCTTGGCAGATGCTTTTCACAATCGAGCCCACAACTGGCTACAGTCGACGCTCTCAAGAGCGTATTGTAATGTCCGTGGTTAATCGTTTGGTCAGAAGAGTCAAAGGAATTTCGAAAGGATCTTGGGTCGAGATTGGCCAAAAGACACCAGGCGAAAGCAACATATATTGGGTCTCTCCTACCAGTAACAGTGGATAGCAAAGTGTCGAGATGAAGTTTGTCTCGCCTAGCCTGGCTAGCCATGTTGTCTCGGTTGCAGTTCCGTCTCCTTTTGACCTTTGTGACTCACATTGTGACCTTTTCTTGTTCGTTTCTCGGTCGCACTTCCTTTGCTATATCCTTTGCTATAGAGGCGAGCCCTTCCCAAAACATCCACCTCAACTAACTTTGCAAGACGCTGATTTGCACGAGGTGCATTCAGGGATTGGGTGCTCTCAGTGAAAAGTTGTCCTTATGTAGGTCTATTTGAAGGAAAAAAGAACTCCTAGTAGCGCCCTTGCTCCTAGTAGCGATGCCAGGAGCCCCTACTAGCGTCCTTGTTCCTAGTTCCTAGTAGGTTGGAAAGACCCAGCGTCGAAAGGAAAGACCTCTGGGCCCGGCAAGGCCTTGTAGTGCTTGGTTGGCGTCCAGGTCGGCAAAGATTCGTCGCAGCGCAAAGCCCTCAGGGGATCCCAGCACGCGCTGCAAGATCTCTCCATAGGACACGCTGGAGCTGGAGCTGGAGCTCGAGCTGCCCGTTGCAGCTGTGGAATTTGAAGAATCAGAAGAGCCAATCAAGGTATCGAAGGTGTCCCATTGTGGAGCACCTGATTCTGTGATGAAGTTCTCCCGCAAAGCTTCTACCGCAGCCTCCGTGAACACTTCGAACGTGTCTTCTAAACAGAAATCGACCAATCACTTTCTTGAAGAAACTCAATTCCCGGACAGAAATCCTGTTTGCACACGGGGTTATGTCGCTACTAGGTTGGAGGCCATCGCTATGTCTCGTCTCAAAAGGCAGTCGAATCTTGAAGCCTGGGAAGGCTGGGAAGGCTACAAAACGGATCGGAAGGGTCTGATCACCTCCCCTTTAGAAGGCCTTGGGACGAAGCAATTGAGAAGCAAGGCGGAAGGCGAGGTCCAGTTGGGGCCAGCTGCTTGGAGCATCACACTTGAAGGAGGATGCGGGTGTTTTTTCGATGTGGAAAGGTCGTTCCACCGACGAGTGACGAGTCAGGCGGGGCCACAAACTCCGAACAAACGAACGACGAACTGGTGGTACCAGGGATGTTGCGTTTTGAGCCCCTAGCAGCGTTCTTTGCTCCTAGTAGTAAGGCCAGGAGCCCCTAGCAGCGTTCTTTGCTCCTAGTAGTAAGGCCAGGGGCCCCTAGTAGCGTTCTTTGCTCCTAGTAGTAAGGCCAGGAGCCCCTAGTAGCGTTCTTTGCTCCGAAACGGAAAAGGCAGCTTCAGCACTCACAAAGCGACGCACACGCGCGAGCGTACATGCTTAACACGCGCATACAAAAGGAATGACTGAAAGAATGCCAGGGTCAATACCAGCGATGCCCTTTGTTACTAGTAGCTTCTTGCTCCTAGTAGCGTTGCCAGGAGCCCCTAGTAGCTTTGCCACTGTCAATACAAGCATACCCCCATTGACGCCTTTGTCTTTGGTGAGAGCGCTCTCTGCATGGCGTAGGGCAATGAGGCTTCGTAGATGTTAAAGTCTGGCCGCCTCAAAGGCAAACAAGGCCACAACATGTTGCTCAAATCTGCTTAGCAACGCATGTTTTCGCAATGGACTGGTATGCACTAAGTGGAATGTCCATTCATCTAAAGCTTGTGGAGTTTTACAAGGAAGAAAGCAAAGTTTGCTCTCACTGTTCGTTTATGCAAAACCGAGGTTCACTACACCAGCAATTCCCTCCAAGGTGAGGAAAGTCCGAATGAAGAGAATGATGTAGCCCGGCATCACCATGTGGTAGTTGTTCGACAGCTTGGTAAGGGCTGTGGCAAGTGCTCCAAATCGACTCAAACCACCTCACAGGCGAAGAACTTGTACGACTGTCTCTTAGCCTTAAAAGAAAAAAGATAAAAGAAACCCTACTAGCGATGGCCTCCAACCTACCAGCTTCTAGCTACTAGTAGTAATGCCCTTGTTACTAGTAGCGATGCCCTTGTTACGTTCGTAGCATTCTTGTTCCCACAAACGCGATGGCCGAGGCCTCTCCCCCGCCTTCTTCTTCTTTCATACTCTTTTCCAGAGCTTCCGCAAACTCTTCATCCGGGCACGATGTATATTCAAAGATCCGTGCTGTGGGGTCAATGACTTTCTTGAAGCCGCCCGTCTCCCCCACAGCCATAAAGCCAACATCTGCGTTTGGAGATCGATCACTTGACTCGGGGTTGGGTTCTGACCCAATAGGCCTTCCAAAAAAAACAAAAACTTTTAGACTGTATTCTGCTCAGCCTTGCATGACTTTGGCCAAAAGCAGCCATCGTTCGGCCAACAAGTGCTGAATCCCAGCCTCAAACTGCCGCACTAGGAACTAGGGCATCGCTACTAGGGGCTCCTGGCATCGCTACTAGGAGCAAGGACGCCACTAGGGGCTCCTGGCCATACTACTAGGAGCAATGTTTGCTGCTAGTAGCAAGGACGCTATTAGGTTGGAGGCCATCGGATGCCTTTAGTCTCCTGTTCTGAACTCATTTCTGCAAAAGAAAACGTTTTCCAGAAGAGCGGAGATAGTCACGCCCCTTTGCTACCAGGATGCTGCAAAGCCTTCCATGACATGAGGCTCAACAGTTCCTGAAAAAGACGGATCACTCGGAGAAAAAACACATTCGGGGCCTGCATGTATGCAGCATATGCATGTGTCTGCCTCAAAACCGTAGCAAAACCGTAGCACAAAAACATGCAAATCCATGCAGTTCAATCGAGATCGGCCATTTGGACCATCGAGCCGCCCATGAGACCAAAGTCCAGAAATGCAAGGCGGCCATCCTCTGTAAGTATCAAGTTGCCAGCATGAGGGTCTGCGTGTACAAAGCCAGTAAAGACCAGGGAGGAAACACAAGCCTCACACGGTTTTAAGACCAGGGAGGAAACGCGGCGGACCTCATAGCTTCACAACATTCCTGTCATGAAAACAGCATGACCCTCAGCAAGCTTGCATGCCCTTGGAAACGACCTTTCGCTGGTACTGGCATCGCTCCTTCCTTTCTTTTGGAAAGCGGTTTTGCTTGCATGACATTACATTACATTTCCCATACATCCATATATACGTACGTCAACAAGAATGACTGAAAGCACACGGCTCCATGTTTTGTCCAAACCCCAAAGACCAAACGCACTCTGTTAGAGGAACAATGTTCGCTGCTAGGGGCTCCTGGCAACTAGGAGCAAGGACTAACCCCTGGCCTTACTACTAGGAACAAGAAACTATTAGAAACAAGAAGCTAAGAATTAGAATCAAAGTTAATCCTCCCCCAGCCTCCACTGCCATGTCCTTGGGTAGCAATGGGCATACCATTCTATGTTGTTGACATGAGTCCGTCAGAATTTCTGTCCAACATAAGTATGATGTATTCAATAATTCCAATGTGGAGAAGCTGCGAATTGAATTCGATTGCGAGTGGCCACACCTGCCAAGGCTCTACCATTTTCATCCTCTCCTCTTCACTCTCAATCTCCTGAAGCTTTCGTCCGTTGATCCATTCCAAGGTCCTCGGGATGAGCCTCTAGGCCCTCAACCGGTGTGACGGACCCTCAACGAAGTTAAGGTTGGCGGCCATTGCGCTTAGGTTCCATACAGCTGCTGAGAAAAGCTAGTAACAAAGGGCATCGCTACTAGGAAGCTACTACTAGCTCCTGGCCTTACTACTATAAAAACAAAAAAGCTACGAACGGGGCGCTCCTGACCTTACTACGAACGGAGTAACAAAGCAAAAAATTTCACTTTCGTCCCAAGCGACAGCACGCGCGCCGTGCCCTTCGGCCCGGTGAGCTCGGGTACCCATTGTGGTGCAGTGACGAAGGGCAAGAAACGATGCTTCTTGAGGAAAAGCTCCGCGTTCCGTGCCTCGTTGTGATAATCCAACTCCTTGAAGACACCTGAACAAATTAATATCGGTCTTAAAGGGGTCTCTGTTTCCAAAAAAAACAGCTTCGTCTTCCACGCATATCCAACCTAATAGCGATGGCCTCCATCCTACTTCTCCCTGCCTTCGGCCACTTCATCGGCAATTTTTGGATACTCATCACCTTGGCCTCCCCAATACAAGTCCATCACGCCAAGTCCCAAAGCCTCACAGTTGCGAACGAACATCCTCCGTCGTCGACTCGAGGCACAAGCTAAGTAAGGGGTAAGAGGTACCGGTCGGTCGCACAAGGGAAAGCCCTCCGCATGATTGATTTGGGTTCCAGCCGATGTTTGGGGAAACTCAATCGTTCAAGTGGCATGTTTCCAACTCACAGTTCATGTTTGATGGCTCACAGTTTCACATTCGACAGTGGTAGCAAGACCTTGAACATACGAACAGTCTTCGAGCGCTCTGTGCCGTTTAATGCTGTGCTGAAAGCATTCACCACATACGGCGGTGGAGAACACAGATTGATTGCATAGCCGAATAGTTTTACCAATGTGGCTTGAAGCAACACTTTCTCGCTGAATTCCATTTGTTCAGGGGTATCTTGGGTGGGACTTTCTCACAGCTCTATGGTCTACGGGACCAAACAACTCACCTCCTCTAGTAGGTTGGAGGCCATCGCTCTTAGGTTCCTTTTGCTATTAGGTTGGAGACCAAAGGAAGAATCTCTCGTCGCAAGAGTCGAATGGTTCCGTGTGGCCTTGTCGTGACTCGTTCGGTTGGGAGAAGAACTGCTCCAACTGCTGGAGTTTCGTGGAGAAGCTACTAGGAACAGGTGCCACGCTAGTAGTAACAGGTGCCTTACTAGTAGTAACAAGAAGCTACTAGGAACAGGTGCCACGCTAGTAGTAACAAGTGCCTTACTACTAGTAACAAAGAAGCTACTAGGGGCTCCTGGCCTTACTACTAGGAACCATCGGACGCTACGATCGGGGCTGGCAGCTACGAACGGAACAGGAAGCTACTGATCTATAGGTCCAAGGACCCGCAGACTCAATGGATCTTGGAGGAACCAACGTGCCAAGTGTCTTCTGACGAACAAACACGCCCATGTGCAGTCCCATCTCGAAACGTCAAAACGCCAAGTGCCAAGATATGCCAAGATGCCCAACATGTCCAATCCAGCGCAACCTCTCTTACCGTCAAACCGTCAACCACTCCAACGCTTCATTCAAAACGTCCTGTTCAATTTCATGAGTTGCCTTTACATCTCCGTTCTTCATCAAACAACTGCTTGTCTGTGCTGCAGTGCTTGGATGTTCTGGCCGGTTCAAAACCGAAAGAAAAAGAACAGAATAACTTTCGGGATCAACAACTCTTAGGATGGAGGCCATCGCTTCTAGGAGCAAGGACGCTACTAGGGGCTCCTGGCCTTACTACTAGGAGCAAGGACGCTATTAGGTTGGAGCCACATCGCTTCTAGGTGTCTTATTGTTTCAGGATTCTGCAGATTCCCCGCCTGCTTCAGACTGCCGGGGCGCTGGACCTTCACCGCCACCGTCCGCCCATCGAGCGTGGTAGCCTCAAAACAAAGTGTTTTTCCTCTCCCAAAAGTCAGTCGACTGTATGCGACACCAACATAAGGCAGTAGTAGCAAGAATTCGAGATCAACATAAGGCACGGCTTTCTGCGTATGTTTGGAGGCGTCTTCCCGTCTCACGGTGTCACTGTGGTCGCCTTGTAGACTTGTCCCAAAGAGGCCGCAGCCACGGGCCGGTGGCTGATGGACTGAAACAGTGGAGCTCCATTCGGATCGTGCCGGTAGGCGTGAGGCATTTCGGCACTCAGGACCCCTGTGTGGTTCAGATCTTCCAAAATCGTCGCAAAGGCCAACTCAGTGCTGAACTCCACATTCTCCTGCACAAAGCACACGCACACCGCGTGCGTCGAAGGCCAAAACGAAACCTCCCCATCTTTGCGACACATCGACAGAAGCGAAGTGGCTGTCGGAACACCGAACAAAGCGGTCACTCCGAACGCCGCACTCCGAACACGCTTGTCTGACCCAGGGCGCGCCGCGCGGCGCACCTGCTGAAGAAGCTTCAATTCCTCTGCTGCCTCATCACCTCGAAACGAACGCCACTCGCGATAACTCGTGCCATTCGATCAAAGCGATCAACATGATCTGCGATTGAGGCACCAATCAGATCTGGCCGTTCAGACAGAGTCTGCCCGATTTTCACGAAGACGGGCCTTGCCAACACAAATACGCACCAAAAAAAAATGGAGCGTGATGTGTGAGTGTGTGTGTGCCATGCTTTGAGCAGGATTGGAAGAAATTGCATGGAATTCTCGTTTTCGATTCAAGCTATTAGGTTGGAGGCCATGGCAAATTAGTCTTCGTTTCTTATAGATTTCTTATTATGTGTCTGTTTAAGGGTTTCTTAATTGTTTGATTCCTTGGTCGTCGAACGAGATGCCCCAAGCGAGAGAGGGCCGTCCGCAGCTTGGCACCACGAGTACGCTTCTTCTTCTGCAAACGTTCCTCACGATGCCACAGGTCCCAGGTTGGCCAAAGCTCTTGCACGATTTCCGACCAACGCCAGGCGATCTCTGTGGGTTTGGAGCCTCGTTTGAAGAACGAAAACGCGTTTAAAACGGAAGGCCTCTTTCGAAAATGGTTGCTAATATAGAGCTTGCAAGCTCGCCGTTGCCAAAAAATGCATTCTGCACACATTTGCCAGAAAAAATTGGAGCTACGACTCTAGGCGAGGAACTGAAAAAATTGAGCAGAAGCTCACGGTCGAAGCGCCGGGGCAAGTCGTCGTAGTCGGAAGGAATGAAGAAATGGTCGGACTCAGTCTCTGGATCTTTCTCATCTTTCTGCAGGTGTTCCACTTCGAAAGGTCTCAATTCCAACTTCGAATTCGACTCAGAATGCGATGTCGGAAGACGGTCTTTGCTGGCATCGTTGAAGCGGAGAGATACCGACGGCGACACAGAGGATCGGCTCCATGTTCCGGTGAATGCGAAGGTCCAATCGTCAAACGGACGAAAAATCAAGGCAGTGAAAACGGCGAAAAGGAGAAAACCATGGCCTCGCGACATGGCGAAAGCAGGGAGGTTGAAACCACTAACCACTTATGCATATGGTTTAAACAATATATTACTTGAACTATCCATTTTGTTGAACGATCGAGTGACTTTGTATCGAAACTCCTGAGCCAACTGACTGCACTTGTGTTTCAGCATGTCCGTCCTTGGCAAATCAAAGCCTCGAATGACCATCTATACATAGTATGTAACCAATGAAACTATTAGGTTGGAGGCCATCGCTACTAGGGTGGAAGCCATCGATATAACATCATGTAACAATGAAAAAAACTCAAACTCTGCCCAAAGACGTCTCCCTCTCAGGTTCTTGGACTTGGTGACACCGTGGTGACACACGTGGCACACCGCAATTCTTCGCCAAAACGACGACCTGATAACGGTTTCTATACACTTCTACTCGGTAGAGCCACTTGACTTGGACATGCACAGAGACCCGGTTGACCGATGCATCTCACGGCTTTTCTCACGGCTGCTCACATGGGTCTCGAGGCTTTTCTCGTTAACTGTTGATGGTGTGCTTTCCACGTGGTCGGTAGAAACACCACCAGCATTGGAATGATCAACCGAGGGAGGAAAGAGGCAGAAAATGAGTTTACTTCTCCTTTTTTCCTCACTTTTGCAAAACTGAAACTGAAACTTTTGGGCCGAGAGCACGGCATGCAATTTTGCCTCTATGAAGCGCCTTCGCCAAGTCTGTCCGGCAAAAATACAATGCTCATTATCCAGAACCTACCCCAGTCAAGGTTCAGAAGACGATCTGAGTGAAGGAGACTGTGTTTGGCCACTCTTGCGCGATGTTCGCGCCACAAGACGTGCCTCGCCATCGAGGAAAACCCACCGCGCCGCAGCACAGACAGCTGATCGACGCATAGAGACATGGTCTCGCGTAGATGGAATGGCCCGGTCCTTGCGCCAAGGCCCCGCTTTCGGCGTGAAACACTCGCCCTCAAGCAGCCTGTCAGGCACCCAGCCCAGGATATCCAGACCTGAAGCTTTGGATGTGAAAAACACGGCCGTGTGGTCCTTCTCAAGAACTGCCCTTTTTCAGAGACATGACACGGCATTCAGCTCGAAACGCAGCCCAGCCAATGAAGGCCATGGCAACCATGGCGAGCCCGTAATATGCTGTCGGGTTAAGCTCCTGCCACAAGTTGAACGACATGACGCCCCCGTTTTGCTCGGAGAGCACTAGTGAAAAGATCTGAAGAGCTTGCTTACGGTGATACACTCGAACGACATGACCTCAAACAAAATGCACAAACATTGCAAAGCGAAGAAGGGAATTGTTGGAGGCCATCGCTATTAGTTCGGAATTGAAGCTCAGTCCCGGTGGCGGAGGAGGTTTTCCACCTTGAGGTGAGGCCAAATGTCGCAATCGACTGCAATGCGCATAGAACAAAACAAAGAAGCTACTAGGAACAAGTGCATCGCTTCTAGTAACAAGTGCCTTACTAGGAACCAAGAAGCTAGTAGTAACAAGTGCCTTACTAGTAGTAACAAGGTTCGCTATTAGTAACAAGTGCATTGCTACTAGGAGCAGGGACGCTATTAGGGGCTCCTGGCCTTACTACTAGGAACCAAGAAGCTAGTAGGCTTCAAGAGTCCGGAATGAATTCTATTTACAATTAGTAGTACCAATTACTACTAGCTTCTTGTTACTAGTAGTAAGGCACCTGTTACTACTAGCGTGGCACTTGTTACTAATAGCTTCTTGTTTTCTACTTGTAAGGCCCTTGCTCCTAGTAGCGAGGCACTTGTTACTAGAAGCGTTTGCAATGCGCGCCTGGTGGCCCTTGAGAATGCGGAAGCGAAAGCGATCCTCGAAATGAAAAGGTTTGGACCGTCCGTCGTCCGTATTGTGGCTTCTTGTTACTAGTTGTACGGCCAGGAGCGCCCCGATCGTGGCGTCCTTGCTCCTAGTAGAAATGCCCTTTGTTGCTAGTAGCCTTCTTGTTACTAGTAAGGCCAGGAGCACCGCAGCGTTAGCGTCCTAGAGCAGTCAGATTGCGTGGCGAAAGCGGAACGGTTGCAGATTTCACACGCAGCACCCCAAAGAACACCCAATCCTTGCTCTAAATCTTACCGTCGCGGGGACCACAAACGGTGTAAGTTGGAATGGTTCTGTCCAAACGAGAAACCAAGACCAAAAACACCACAAGACAAACAGAAAAAGATAGGAACTTTGCAAAGTAAGACGACAAGAAACAACCCCACATGCAAAATGCACAAAGAAACAGAAACAAAGCAAGACGCAAAGAAGCGATGTATGAATCAAGGTCAGCAAACACGCAGAAAAGCGAAGCGGAAAGCGAAAAAGCAAACCAAGCATGAGAAGCGAACGAAGCACAAGGAACCTAAGAGAGATGGCCTCCAACCTACTAGCGATTGGAACCAGTCCAAAAAAGAACTAAACTTCAAAAGAATCGGGAAGACACGGCCCTTCAAATAGACATGTTTTTGGACGTGTTTCTTTGTTCATGTGTTTGTGTCCTTTTCTCTTCATATTTTTCCACTTATGTCGCCTTTTGATTTGTCTCTTGGTTCGCACTTTTCTGTGCTAAGAAACATCTTCAAACGTTCCAAAACTGGCCTTCAGGTTCTTCGCATCTACGTAGGGGTCTGGACCTGCGCTGGGCCAGCTTGAAGTTTGGAGCGACTGCCAGCTTGGCTTGCAACTTGCCAGCTTGCCTTCATCACAGCCTGGTGACACTAAACGTATGTTGCAATCAGCTCCTTCGCCAGTTCCAGCCTCCAGCCAAGTGAAGGATCGAAATTCCTTTTGGAGGCCATCGTTGAAACATGTGAATAATGGCTAGCTGGCTAGCTGGGTCACACGGTGTTTTCAACGCCTGAGCTACCATAGGCCGTGCTAGAATGGTGACCTCGACCGTCGCGTCGCTGGAAACCCAGCAGTCTGTGTGAGCTTAGGGAAGAACTGACGTCTAAACAGCTCTAAACAAACTGCAGTCTTTGGAAACAATCAGAGAAAACACACATGGTTGTTTGAAGTTGTTTGTTTTGCTTTTCCGTTTCTTAAAGATGAAAAAGATGGGCTAACGGTCTAAGAAATGTGTGTTTCCCTGTGTTTGATCACTTCTAGTCGTTATCCTCAGGTGGGCACCGGCGTCCCTCTAGGTATTGCAAGCTCTGTGTAGCGAAAACAATTCTCCTGCGATCAGATCGACATGCACGGTGTGACGCAAGAAAACTGTGGACAATTAGTCAACAAATACTTGTTTAAATAGAAACAAGAATCAAAGCAAAGGAGAAAACAAAAAAAGGAAGACACGCCATTAAGAAACAAGAAGAAACAACTGAACATGTTTTCATGTGTGCATCGAAAGCTACTCTTGCGACCTCTTGGGATTCACTTCACTTTGGAAAATAGCGACCAAATACAATATCAAAGGCATCGCTACTAGGGTGGGGGCCGTCGCTTACGAATTTGAAGTTACGAACCGCAGTGAATGTCATTGGAAAGAGCGGGGAGCAAATCGGTGTGGCAAAGCGGCAGACCGGATCACCTGTAAAACAGCGGCGGAGTCTTCACCAAACCGCTTTTGGCTTGTGGTGTTGATAGAGTGGCGGCCCTGAAAGCCGCGGAGGATTGGAGAAGTCAGGGCTGCGCAGCTGGGAAAACGGGCGACTTTGTGCTGCATCATCTTGGCTCAGAAGGACGGCCATTTGGCTTCTTGTTACTACTAGTAAGGCACTTGTTACTAGAAGCGATGCACATGGCTAGCTGCATCTTGGCTCAGAACTGGGATCCGATTGTTGTAATGTCGTATGTGCTCAGTGGCTTCTGGGAGGTCTGGGCTCTGAGTGCAAACTGGCAAGTATGCGAAGCACTCACTCACCCATCTGCTCATTCACTTTTGAAACATCACACTATACCGCAACGCATGAACAAACAGCTGCAACACAGCATCAGGAGCCATCACGTCGGACCTCATTGCATAACCTTGCATCACACAACAGCTCATCCCTGGTCCTCATCAAGGGCATCTTAACTCTTAAACTCTAGTTTACACCTTTACACGTTTAGTTTACATCTGTCGAAACTTCTGCCCACCGGCTCCGCCGGTCTGGTCGTACTCGCCTCATCTCGCCGTTGTTCCAACTCCAAACGGGTGAAGGTCGGCTCCTGGACGGGAGCGAAGTCCGGAACCACAAACACTTATAAAAGCAATCGGCGTCCAACCGAATCTCCCAAAATCCTTCATTTGGGAACAACTGCTATGTTCTGTATTTATTCAAGTCTTGTGTTTCTCTCGTTTTCCTTCGATTTCCTTGAACCGATTTATGTGTTAAAGAGTTTCCTGCGCCAGACCAAGACCTGTGTACCCCGGCACATGTCTGAGCAACTGGCGCAATGCGGCGTATATCTGGCATTCTCTTTGGCTGCCACCTCTTCATTTCAAAAACGACAGAAGCGGCTTCTCTCAGGATAAGAACATAATTGTTCTTGTAAACATAATCCTTTTCTGATTAGCCTCTCTGCACTCTACCTCTCTTTCTCTGAATCTCTTTGTGTTTTCACAATTTCAAAGTTTTAGAAAAGAGAACCTCTCAACCTCCTTTGACGTTGGGAAATCGCATTGAACAAACCTTTCAGCGTATGGAAACCAAATGGCAGAGTCCGTGGAGGAAACCCGTTTGGATGAATAAAACAAGATCGAAAACTTGAAAGCTCGACGTATGAGTCAGGGCACGAGCCAGGAAACGGTGAGAAACTGCTATAGAGCTATAAAGCAAGGGAGGAGGTAGGTCCGGTGATTGATTTGGTTCCATACTTTTCAAGGAGCATTTGTCGTCAAACATTGGCTGGGGTCAAACGTTGTCCACCTTCCTCATACTCGGAGCGTGACGCGACGTGCGGCGCCTGCGCTCGCTCAAGGAGTTCTCTCGCTGTGACCATCTCCGTTTTGCGGTGCTTTGAAGCATATGAAGGAACCTAGTCACGAGACGTCTAAACCTCAAAGGTTCAAACTAATCTGGTCAAGTTTTAGACATGTTGGGTTCAGTTTCTGTCGTCCCCAGCATCATCATAGCCACCACCCCGTACGGAGTCGTAGAATCCTCGCGGTTCCCACAAGAAATTCGCCTCAGAAAGCAAAAGGGCTCTGCTAGTAGTACGGCCGGGAGCCCCTAGTAGCGATACCCTTGTTACTAGTAGCTTCTGAAAGACAAACACATGTAGACATATTTTCACACAAAAACTGCCGAAATGTGTTTGGCTGTTGTTAAACCGCTTAACCGCTTCCATCGTACGGGTGTCGCTCATTGCGCCGTGGCGGTTTTGAGGTGCCAGGCTGGTGTGGGACCATTCCGGAAGGCCTGGACCAATTTTAGGCCACTCCAACCTAGAAGCGGTGGCCTCCACCCTAGTAGCGATGGCCTCAGAACCAATGGCCTCCAACCTAATAGCAAACTATATCACAGCTTTATTTCCTCCGCACTAGGAGCAAAGGGCATCACTGCTAGGAGCAAGGACGCTACTAGGGGCTCCTGGCCTTACTATAGGAACAAGCAGATACTAGGAGCTTTTTCGCTCGCGTACCTTTCGTACTTTCTAGTATTCAGGGCGAACTGGGCGCAAGGAACTGCCGACAGATACTGACTGACAAATGCAAAGTCAGAAGACAAACTTATCAACACGTTTGCGAGATGACAGCCTACACAACAAATTTGCTAAACCGTCCAGCAAATACCCAACTCGGAGTTAGGGAGTACTTTCCTCAGGAAACTCCTGTGCTTTCGCAATCGAGACATCGCTCTGGCTGAAGAACCGTTTCAAGTGAAGAACAATCTGAAAAAAGAAACAATTGCTCTTAGGTTGGAGGCCATCGCTACTAGGGTGCAGGCCATCTCTAGTAGTTTGGAGGCCATCTCTAGTAGTTTGGAGGCCATCGCAAGTAGAGTGGA